CAAATTATAATCAGTGGGCCAAATCTGGTCCATTGTCTGTTTTTACATGGCCCATGAGATAAGAATGATTTTACTTCATTTTTAAATGGTTAGAAAACAATCGAAAGAATATTTTGTGACACATAAAAGAACATGAAATTTAAACTTCAGTGTCCATAATTAACGTTTGACTAGAACACAGACATATACATTTATTTACATATGGTTACTTTCATGGTACAAGTCAGAGTTGAGTACTTATAACCAAGATGGTAATGTCTACAGGGCCTGAACTATTTACTCTGCAACCCTGTACAGAGGAAGTTTGCTGACCCTTGTCCTACACAGACAAGATGAAGACCATGTTTGTCATTATTAGCACTGTATTTGGATTTCAGAGATGTTAAAATGTGGCTTATTACATATCTTAAAATTAACAAAATATGGTACACTTTCACCAGTAAAGGACTAGATGCATCATTTTAAAATACTTATAGGAATAAATACTGCACCTCAGTTAAAAATCAATAAAAAGGAGAATTTATCTCAAATAAATAGATATTTAAAACCTAAGGTGAAATGAACAAAATAATTCCAGAATGTCACATAAAATATGATACACTTATGTAAATCTAGAAAGATGAAATAATACTATATATGATTGATTGATATATCTATATATAATAAATGATTAAAAACTTAAATTGGAAGAATGACTAGAAAATTCATAATGGAAAAGTAGTAAGAGAAATAGGACTGAGGATATATTTATTGATTTGGTAGAGAGAGGGAGAAAGAGAGTGAAACATCAATGTGAGAGAGACACATTGATCAGTTGCCTCCTGTATGTGCCCTGACCGGGTATCAAACCCACAACCTAGGTATGTGCCCTGACTAGGAATCGAACCTGCAACCTTACGGTGTACAGGACTCCACTCCAACCAGCTGAGCCTCCCAGCTAGGACATAGTATTTCTTCATTACCTTTTGCTTCTTTATTTCTTAAAACATGAAAGTATAAAGACAGATGGCAAAATATGTCTTTATGACTCATAAAGTCTTATTTTCTACAAGGTGAGTATGGATGTTTATTAAATGATTTTTGTATCACAAAAATAATTTACCATAAAAAGAAAAGCAACACAGCTATGCAGATATTTATTTTTATTTGTTGCCAAAAGAAATGTGAGTGGTGGAAATGTAGTTCAGATCTGCAGAGTTATCACCAACAAATAAATATAATTGATGGTAATCAGTTGGATTATGACTACTTACCAGGTAATTGCTGAATTAAGATCAGCTTATCCTATAAGAAAAATAAATAACATCCAAAACCTTTTATAGAATACACAATAGATATATTAGAAGAACCAACATGATATGCAACAGGGAACTGTTCCAAGACCAATGTGAGACATCGAAATCAATTAAAACTGACAGTTTCTTGATGAAAACTTTATTGCCCCCCAATAACTACACATGTCACAAGTTAGTCACTGTTCATTACTTACACATGGCTAACCAAACTCCAGCAGCTATGCGATTAGCTTCCCAAAGCTTTCATAACTTACCTTACTGGTTTTACAGACTTTGAGGGTTGGCCTTTTTTCACAAAGTATAGTGATCTTCATTTTATCATCCCCTTCCCATTTCTTCTGAGCCCAAAGGACTATAGTACCATCCTGGATATTGGTAATATATCCCAAAGGGATGTGCTTTAGTGGTAAATCTCCAGTAAATGATATTTCAAGGCTTTTTTTTGACATGGTCTCTGCTGAGTCACCTTCCAGGACCCTTCACATGTTGCCAACCTTGGAGAAAGTATTCTGGGTTCCTGGAAAGGATCATTTCCCCATTGCACTAATGCTAGGAATAAGCATACTGAGTCTTATCTGCAAATACTAATATTGTTGGACTTAGAATATGATGTGGGTTAAAAAGTGCAAGTTGAACATCTTATATTTTGGCAAAGAGAACGTCTTAAAACTTAGCCTTGGTTACTCCGAGAGTAAACATTCCTCTTTTACCACAGAGAAGCAGACTGTAAATAATCTAAAAGCAACTTTTTAAATATATTATTTGAAAAAAATAAATATAGTATTTGCACAAATCTCAGTGTGTGGTTCATAAGGATTGCTAGGAAAAACAACTACGAATAACACAAAATCAACTAAACTTTAGTAAGTTTAGTGAGCTGTCATATGCAACAAAAGTCTTATATTGTGGTTGGGCATATTGTAATCTTAAGGTTTATGATAAATATCACATTATTTGAAGTAAAGACAAAAGAAAACTGAGTTTTAATAGTTCCTCATGGGAGGATCTGTGCTTGACTATCTTCTACCTAGTAATGAAGAAGATTTGGGAGAACAGTAAACCAGGTGCAGCTTGAAAAGTAAGGGATTACAAAGAACCACCTTTAATTCTCCCTCTTCCAGATAAGTCAAGGATTCAGAGGTTTTCCACACTCGAAAGTGTTTAACCTCTGTTATCAAAGGCAGAGTCTGATCTTGATTATAGAATATTGATTTCTTTGTTTGTATTTGTTTATTTGTTTACATACCCAAAAATCAGGTAGCACAACTGTGAGACATTTCAGATATTTTATTATTTATTTATAAAGTTGTAATATTTTTCTTAAATTCATAAATTTTTAGTGTGTATATGCATATATGATTATACATAAATGTTGTTCTATTATGCTGTTTCTAGTTTATGGTAATAATGAAAAAATATGTGTTGTTGCTATTAATACAGGACATGTAAGTTAAAATATCTTTTCATTTTTTCATTTATTTTTATAATTTTATAACATTTGCTTTGCTTCTCTGTTCTTGGCTCACCACCGCATCCCTGTCTTTCTCCACACACAAATACATACACATTCATTTTTTGAATAATTTGAGAGCAAGTGTCAGACATTATGATACTTTATCTATTAATATTTCACCATAAATCTTAAAAGTATAAGGAAATTCTTCATTTAACTACAATGCCATTATCACAAGAAAGGAAATTTAAAAGCCTGGCATTACAAAATATCTACGTAAAATTATATTTCCAAATTGTGTCTCGTATGACTTACTTTATTAATAAAGACTCTAAAGTTTACTCACTAGGTTGGGTTGCTGTATCTCTTCAGGTTCTTATAATCTAAAATGGTTTCATTTCTCCATGACACCGAGTATTTCAGGAATTCAAGAACGTACTCCATTCTGGATCTGCTATTGCTATTATTCACTTCTTCTCAAGTAACTGTTTTAATGTAGTAAGGTTACTCCCCAAATTATCTTAACGATCATATTGCATAGTATATTCGTTTAAACTTTAATTTACTCTGAACTCTCCTTTAGTGGTGTCTTTGCTTTTACATATTCTTGTACATGTTTTGTAAAGTAATTCATTTTTTTCCTTGTTAATAAAAGGATCCGTTGGCTACATTACTTTTTAGATGATTTGTGGGTTCTATTGACTTGGGTTCTGAGGACATGAAACAATTAAAATCTTAATTTAATGATCTCATTATGAGTCTCTACAGTAGACACCTGCAGAAAAGCTGGCCTGTAACAATAGTGTGAGAATCGGGGCCCATAGAAAATCCCAGTATAACTTTTTCCCACGCTGACCAAACCGAACCTGAACTACATAGTGTGTTTCCCTTAGCTGCAAAACTGCCAACTCAGAAGTAAATCTGACTGAAGAAGTTTTCTCAGGATCCCCACATGAACCAGGCAACTCTTCCAGTAAGAAGATAATAAAAATAACATTTATACACAGCCAAATGACAGTCTTGCAAGGACCTTGTTAGCAGTCCAGAGCAGTGAGCATCTCGGTGCAGCAGACATGTAACGTATATGCAATACAGGGTCATGTCTCCCGTTTTATCCAGTTCCTGCTCGGATGCCTTTTTGACCCTAATTAATTCCTCCTTTACGTCTGCATCCATTGACTGTCATCATTCTTAGGTTTTCACTCCCGTCATCGCCTCTTATTCTACCACAGTATTATCATTACCCATCACAGAAGATCCATCTCTCAGATGGCTGGCAAGGCAAGTTTATTCATGTGATTTCATTTAAATATTGGCTCATCTATTAATCTGTAAGAAAATTCTGAATGAATTATGATATTCTTTAAAACTAGCTACTTTGTTTAAGAGGCAACATTGAACCTTCACTGGTACTCTTAGCTTCAGTTCCTTCTATGTCTTCACCAATCTGTGACACTTGTAATTTTTATACTCACCCCTCTTGTATACACCATTTATTTAATGTTATGGTGCAAGATAGAAAGAAATACATGTATATGTTTATAGAAGGGAGTTTTTGAGATATCAACCAAAAGAACTATACCCGTAAATGTTCCTTAAAAATGTAATACCTCATTGTGCCACAAGAGCCTAACAAGAAAGAAGCAGGGTAAACAGCACATTTCCCCTGTTCCTGGACAAAATGCTGGCCTGCTGAGGAGAAAGAAGCAACAGCTGTGGCAATTCCCAGCCATTGCCAGGAAGAGTCTACCACCCATGACACGAATCTCCTTGAGCGAATGCCAAGCCATTTCCCGATACCCAAGTCCTGGCTTTGCATGTCTGTTATTCATTGCAGGGCTCCACCCTCAAATCCACTTATAAAAGCCTAGTCTTTTCTAACATGAGCAACCATTGAAGAGACCTGCAAAACAGGTAAGTGGGAGCTGAGAGAAGATGGGAGTCATGGGAGAGGTTTCCCTGTCACACTTGAGGGGAACCTTTAAGAGGACGCCAGGTGCTAGGCTTCGGAGAACACAGGAGCTCTGAGACTCAGCTAAGGCCATCCGGGGAGGTGTCGGGGGTAGTAGAATGTACAGATTTTCCAATTATTTCCAGAATCATAGAAGGTGATAGATGTCACCAAGACCATTTATTCCCAGAGGACTACCCAAAGGAAAAGATGAGAGGGAGAACAGAGGGCCCTCTGCATGCTCTCTCTCTGCCAACGCTTCCTTCATGACCTCTGATTGCTTCTGCAAGTCACAGACACGATGCTGGCTCCCATGGCCCTCCCCAGCACATCCTGGATGCTGCTCTCCTGCCTGATGCTCCTGTCGCAGGTGCAAGGTGAGAGTTCTCTGCCTCTAGCACTGGGTCACTGTGAATGCTCCAGGCCGAGATAAGGAGGAAGCCTCCTGTGTGACGCATGTGGCAGTGGTGAGGTGCAGCCTGACACAATGAAGCTGCCTGCAGTTCCTCCATCATCACCCCTTCCCTCACGTAACTCCCGGTGGGAGGCACCACAGTGGTCCATTGTCGATGGGATGAGATAGTCTCTGTTTGTCAGTGGGCTCTAGTTTCTATTGGCAGGGTGAAGAGAGAGAGCAGGAAGGGTCAGTAGGGAGACAAGAGGAAGAATGATTGGAAAACCCAGCGTGAGAACAGGCAGCTCAGAGTCAGGGAAGTGTTGGACTTTTGAATAAAGGGGAAAGAAGAACACAAAGAGATGGTCCTCCATTTACTGGGGCTGATTTAAGATCAAGAAATCCCATGGAGGGGCAGTCAGGAGTTTGGTGGTAGTCAGGGGAGGTCAAACTGGCCTCAGATATTTCCCAAGGTCACTTCCCAACACCCACTTATGCTCTTCCTTTCACTCCATCTTTCTCCGTTATCCCCTTCCTCCCCAGGTGAAGATTCCAAGAAGGAACTGCCCGTTCCACGGGGCAGCTGTCCCCAAGGCTCCTATATCTTTGGCTCCCACTGCTATGCTGTGTTCAAGACTCCAAAATCCTGACCTGACGCAAATGTACGTAGGTGCTTTTGTACCTAGCAGTGATAAGGGAAAATACAGTAGAGGTGGGGCAGGGGCCTCCATTCTCCAGAGTATTGGAGGGTAAGAGTGAGCACCCTCACCTTGTGCACAAACACCTCTTCTCACCTACCTTAGCCCTGTGCTTCACCCACTGATATTTCCAGTTCCTCCTCAATGTCTTCCTTCCCAAAACAGATTGCCTGCCAGAAACGACCCTCAGGATTCCTTGTGTCTGTGCTCAGTAAAGCTGAGACATCTTTCCTGGCCACACTGGTCAAGAACCATTTGAGAAACTCCCCATATGTCTGGATTGGGCTCCATGATCCTACAGAGGTGAGATAACATCTGTCTGTCCTTTGTTTTCAGCTCCTGTTGTTACCCAGGCCTGCTCCCTGTTCCTTGTGCCTTTGTAGGACATATGACAGAGAGCCCTGGAATTCAGAGATCCTAGGATATATTTGGGGTAAAGGTAGGACCTTGAGGCCAAGTGAAGAGCAGAGTTTTGTGGAGGATCCTAATCTCCAATTGAAGTTAATCCATTTGTTTTCAAGTTTTTACACAATTTATACTTGAAACTTTGTAATTCAGTTATCTGAGTTTACTGAGTCTAGACATAGTGTACTGAGGGAATCCTAAATGAAGATAAGATGTATTTTTCCCATATAGAACAGACATTTTCTTTGGGGTTCAAAGGGTAATCACAAATATACCAATTATTGCCCAGCCAGTAACATGTTACTCTGAGTCGTACCATTGGTGTTTGTGATTATTGGCTTTGGGATTTGCCAGTAGGAGAGAGTTGTTATGGAGAATATCTGAGAGGAAAGCTCTGTGGCAACATCTGGAATAGCAGATACAATTCCAAGGTGCTGAGGAGATCAAGTATCCACCAGATAGGAATATGCAAGAACTTTAATAGCCATTCATCCTTACCGGGCTCCATTCTCTACTCTCTAGGGAGATGAGCCCAGTGCAGGCGGATGGCAGTGGAGTAACAATGATGTGATGAATTACTTTGCCTGGGAGAAAGATCCTGCCACCATCTCAAATCCCGGGTACTGTGGGAGCCTGTCACAAACCTCAGGTAAGAAACAGAGGAGCTACCCTGTGGCCAGCCTTTCCATCTTCTCATCTTTCATTTCTGGGCATGAACTTCAGGGAATCCTCCTGAACTGGGAAATGCAATATTGGTCTTTCTTCTCCCACCTCCTCTCTTTTCTCCTTTCTCTGAGTCTCCTTTCCCTGGAGTGGGTCCCTGGTGGAGATGAGGGAGGGACTTTGAATCCTAGGCCAGAGTCTGGGATGCCTCTCCTTTGGGTCACGAGCTCCACCAGCCCCATTCACTTTATCGTTTCTCTCTCCCCAGGATATCTGAAATGGAAAGATTATGACTGTCTTCAGAGGTTACCTTATATCTGCAAGTTCAAGGGTTAGGTCAGATGGGAGTCAGAGTCCTGAGTTTCATAGGCAGCTCCTCATGAACGTGGGAGCAATTGAGAAGACTCCCCCAGGAGGAGAATAGTCTTTCACGCCTCCAAACTGACCATTTCACTCTGACATTCCCTTTTCTCTGCCCTCATGTGAGGCTCTTCTCTGAATTAAATATCTTGAGTTTCCAAAGAGCTATAATAAAAATGTAGTCTGCAATTGCCTATCTTGTGTGCTTCATTCTCATTGACAGACACTGAAGAGGAGGAAATTGGTGGGTGAGGAGACTTTGTCGGTCTTATCTCTGCCGAGTTTCACCCAGCCCCTGTGAAAATGACTAACTATGCATCCTACATTTGGGGTGAAGTGGGTCGGTGCTGCTCATGTAGTATTTAGTTTATTCATATACAAACACATTGCTTTCCCACAACTCTACTGCTTATATACCCGCAAAGCCTGAGTTGTATGTCTCACCTGGCCCTAGTACTTCCTAAACTCGTTAAGAAGTTTGTTTATTTTTTTTAAATTTATTTTCAAATTAAAAAAAAAAATCTGATCTGGTTTTATTTATTTATTTTTAAATTTATTTTTCTATTAAAAAAAATTCTGATCTCATGAAAGTACAATAAAAATGAAAAACTAAAAATTTGAATAAAATACAAACCTAATTTGTTTGCTATTAGTTTTCACATTTATAAAAATAATCTGTCAAGTTGCTCTAAAATTTTCCAATATCTTTTCATCTCTGTACTTACCATTCCATGGTTGGCTGGTGAACTGTCTGGGTGGGAGACTTGGTCCATTGAACTTTATGTTGCTTTGTCCCTAGAGGTCACTTGTAAAAATGGATCCCAGCCCTCTGTCTCTGTCAATTAGGTTGAAACTGGGAGGACTTCAATGTCTGGCAGGATTTCTATTGATAATTGTTGAATGGAAAATAAGTAAAAAATAAATAATAATATTGAATAAAAATTATAATCAAAAGTAAAATTCTTAAAAAAGTTTAAAAAATATATTTGTTAGAATTTCTTTTACCTGACTGGAGGCAAGCTCTGGATTTTTAATGTATTTGTACATTTCAAGACCACTTTCTACTTTCTGCATTATTTCTGCCGCTCCCTAACCACATGTTTCTACAGTGCGAGAAAAATATGAGTAGACACTTCACTAAAATGGAAAGGAAATTGTCGTATGAGACCACTGACAAGATTATTTGTGTGGGCCAAGAACACTACAACATTGTCATGTAAAGTATTATTTCTGAAATAAATAGTTGCGATAAACAACAGAGTGATTTTTCATTGATGTTTCTTAAATTTCTTTTGCTTTTTCCAAGATAGACTGCCATGACTAAAAACCCATTTAGCATTTTAGGTGGAAACACTTTTCCATCAGTTTAAATGAATTCTGGTTGTGCAGTACCAGGGGTCCTAATTTTCTGCCCTGGTTAATGTCACGAAATGGGTTAGAAATGTTCTCAGTGATTGTTCTTGTGCCAATTCCTACTTGATTTTGAGCTCTCCCTTTAATGGCAGGTAAGCCACCAGAGCTGTGGGACCAGATCCTGCCCTTCCAGGTGGAGAACTACTATATAAGACCAGACATTTACATTTACCAACAAGAAAGATCCCAACATAATTGGGCTTTTGGAAGTAAAGGTACTTACTGGATCACATAGCAAAAACAACCTACCTGTCAGCTAGGCTTTGAGCTCAGTTCCCCCGGGCTCAGGTGCTTTTCTCTGGTATGCTCTTGTCTGAGCTCTCTCTCATCTCTATGCTTTCTCCCTCTTCTGGTTTCTTTTCTCAGCTCACGATCATTGCCAGCAGCCTCAGGGACTACTGAGTCCTCATCAGTACTAGAAGGAAAACTGCTGAGCTTCACTTTTTCTAGATGAACCTGAGTAAATCTCGGTGGCCAGGAGAATGTCATGGGCTGCTCCTTCAAGCCTGAATTATTGCACATCTTTGAATCATTGTTGGAGAAAAGAGTGCATATTATCCTCTTTGAATCATCTGAATTACAAAGTGTCTGGGATCTTGGAGTGTGATCGTTATTAACCAAATCTCAAGGAAGTTTATTCTTAGAAGGAGAGAGGGACAGATCCTTCTTGGTGGAACACCTGGGTTTATTTAGGAAACAGCATAATGAAACTGGGCCGGTACCCAGGGAATACCACCACGCACACATTCAGACAGAGAATGAGAAACACCGTAGTCCCCTCTTATCCACAGCAGATATGTTCCAAGTCTCGCAGTTGATGCCTGAGACCATAGATAGTACCAAACCCTATACATACATACCTATAATAAAGTTTATCTTATAAATTAGTCATAGGAAGAAATTAACAACAAAACATAATAAAATACAACAATTACAAAAATAAACTGTAATGAAATGGACATAAATAAGAGTGCATATTAAGTAAGATAAGAGTTACTTCAACACAGGCTCTGAGAGATTGAGAAGGTGGATCTACTAGCCAAGATGGCTACTAAGTGCCTAACAGGCGGGTAGAGTATACAGCATGGATGTGCTGCAGAAAGGAATGCTTCTCATTCTGGGCTGGATGCCATGGGATGGTATGAGATTTCATTAGGCTACTCAGTTCAGTGTTCAATTTAATGTTATGAATTGATTATTTTTTGAATTTTCTATTTAATATTTTCAGACCACGGTTGACCATGGATAACTGAAACCTTAAAAACTATGGATGAAGAAGGGAGGGAGAACTATTGTACATAACACTTAACATAATAATTGGGATTAAAGGATCAGAAAAAAGATATCAGCCTTCTCTCTCTCTCTCGTCAGATCAGCAATTGTCATATCACTATCATTGAAGGAAAACAATATAGGCATGTCCAGAGTTGGAAGTCATCACAAATTTCGTAGACTTCAGATCAAGGATCAATCTCTTTCTTATGGTTAGTTTGCTATTGACACCTGACATCATATAATATCGTTCTTTCAGTTTTCTGTATACCTTTGGTTGCAGCTTTTAAGTTCTCTTTGCCAACTTACATTGTGAATGCTCCTTTTCAGTTTCCTTTGCCCAGATAATGATGTAATATGGCATGGCTATTCTAATTACTGGTTTCCTAAGTATGTGTTAAATATTATGATATTTCTTTTACCTGGAACTATTATTGAGACAAGATCACTTAGTATACAGATTTTGGGTCAATAAACCAACTGGCAGCTCATTAATCTTGTAAAAGTAGGAAAGTCATAACCAGTTTTTTGCTGCCATCCATTTTCCCTGAAAGAAGTACTCTCTGACTCTCTTACACTGAAAACAATATGAAACACCATTGCAAACAACCAAGAACATTTTGAATCATCTATTTAAAAGAATATTTACTTCTCTCTTTTCTAAGATGAAAATTTCAAATAACAGAAACATTTTACAAACCAGGTAAGTTTACTAAGTTGAGTTACAGATATTGAATTGAAAGTTAAACATTGTAAATTACACTGAAATATTTCATATGTGTGAAGTTATAAAAAGGATGTGTGGGAGTTGGCGGCAATGAAGGAGCTCCTTTCTAATTCCCCGACTCTCTGTCCAGCTTGGGTGCTTTTGTCAGAGCAGATGGGGAAGTTTTGTCATAACAGGACCTGAGAGAGGGGGAAAGCCCACCTCAGAGCCTCGTAGGCGAGCAGAGCAAACAAGACGCTGAGATGAATCGCAGGTGGTGTGCGCCGTGAGAGACGCCCAGTGTGGGAAGCGGCTCTGCCAAACGCGGGCTGGCGTGGCACTACGTTCGCCGTCCTCCCCGCAATCAGTACTGCTTTCCTTTAGGCAAAGGTGGTGGCGTATGGTTTTCAAGAAACTCCCAGGTGCCCAGTTCCTATGTCCCCTAGAAGGAGAGGGCATGAGGACCTTTTAATAGAGGCTGTGATCCAGAAGGGGATGAAGGAACTCAGGCCCGGGAATAATGAAGAGATTCATGAGAGAGAGAAGCAGAAAATGCTAGGCAGAACATTTGTCCTACTGTCAGCCATTTATTTCCTGATTTTTTCTTTTCCCGCAGTGATGAAAATGACCAGTCCTTATCTATTTAGAATCTGATGCTGAACCGGTGAGGAATACATACACATACACACAAAGATAATTCTTCGGGTTGCATCCAGCTGTGGGTATTCCCTGACATCAGTGTAAAAATTTTACCTGTGAGCTTATTTTAGATTTTTAAAAACATGATAAAGTAGATACACACTCCAACCTCACACCCAATTCTCAAAAACACATAAACATCCACATATAAGTAGGAAATTACCATATTCAAATGGACATTTTTTAAAAACTTGACTTCCCGATAAACAATTAAAGAGTTTATTAAAACCTTTTTAAAAAACTTTGTATGAGGTGCCATGACCCAGTAATGTCAGCCTTTGCACCAGCAATATCTGGCCCCTTATTGACCCTTAGTATTCTTTTAAAAGAACTTGTAGTTCAGATGTTTTATCACTTGTACCTTGGAATGTAACTTGAGACATCCCACTTGTAGTTTTACTAAAGGTTTACATAGAGATTTGGAAATCCATGTGTAAAATTTTCTTATATCAAGTTTGGATTAAAAAATTTGCACTGAGGGACATACATATACTGTGGAGTTTGTTGAATTAAAAAACAAGAAAATGTTAACCAGAGATGCTGCCTGCAGAATATGCTTATAATATCTCAAGGGCCAGAATTTATCATGGGTGTGATCCATGTTTTCTAGTTTCCAGGATAATGCTTTGTGTGCATTTATTCTTCAGTTCCAGTATAATGCTTTGTGTGCATATATTCTTCAGTTACACTTCAGTGTGCAAGATTGTCAGATGCTCAGCATTTCTCTGCGGCCAGCTTCCCACAGACCCTTCCTCAGACACTTCAACCTGTACAAATCACACTTTCCTAAAAATATTTCACTCTCATGGGAAAAAATTCCCTCTTGTTTTATTGAGAAAAAAACAGAACATTCAGAGAAAATGGGAGGAACGGGTTCCCCACATGTTCTTGAAGTTTGGGCACTTCCGCAATCAGAAGCACTGAGCTTTTACAGATGGAAGTGGGATCTCCCTCC